GCTCTGGATCAGTCACTTCCCAATCGAAATATAAATATGATACGTAGATTATACTATGTTTTTACTGAGATTGTCCGTGGATGTCCAGCTTTGTCACAAACACAGAATCTCAAGTGACATGACGGGGTGGTTAATCCTTATACTGTCTTAGCCATACTTGTGGATTTGACTCAGAGGTCCATCTATGGTACGACCAAGAATATTTAGAGGGCGTCATGGAAAATGATCAATAGTAAATTCTTTGGAATAGGCTCGGCTTTAGTAGTATAGGTAATAGGGGTTCTGGCTCACTTCCACTGGAGCCGGATTCATATACCTATACTGCTACTACATGTGGCATTTTTTATGCCAAAATGATTATGCGATTCAACGATAGTCATGAGATTAAATGAAATTGACTCTAGCTCAACAATACCTGGGGCCAATCATTGCTTCTATTAGTATAAAAATGATTATGCAATTCAACGAAAGTCGTTTTAAAAGAAATATCAATATTAATTAATAATGGATAAAATTTACTATAGCCCACGAGGATATTGGAAAGGTGTAGGAGCAATAAAAAAATTAGCCACCGCGGCTAAGGTATCTAAAGATGTGGCCAAGGATTGGTTAAAGAAACAAGCGATGTGGCAGATATATTTACCGGCACCGCGTTATATACCGAGGAAGAAGTTTGATATTTTTACAACGAATGAAGTTCATCAGGCTGACCTCTTGTTTCTTCCCCACGATAAGGTAAAACACAAAACGTATAAATACGCTTTAACCGCTTTAAAAGTGGATGTGGCTAGTCGATACAAAGAGGCTGAGCCATTAACATCGAAAGAATCAACAGAGGTAGCTAATGCACTGAGTCGCATATATAAACGCGGACCACTAAAATGGCCTAAGCTATTTCAAGTAGATCCCGGTCGCGAGTTTATGGGATCGGTAACTAAACTGTTAACAAAGAACGATGTCGAAATCGTCCGTGGTGAAAGAGAGGCCCACCGCAGTCAAGCTATCGTCGAAAGATTTAACAGGACATTAGCGGAACGTTTGTTTAGCTATCAGTATGGGATCGAAATGAAATCCGAGCGATTGAGATCAACCGAATGGGTGACACGATTATCAGCCGTTGTATCAGCGCTGAATAATGAAGTAACGAGATTAATAGGGAAGAAACCATCCCATGCTATTAAAATGAAATCAGTGACTTCCGAATCTTCAGCACCGAGGAGAGGAAAAGAACGAAAACTTCCGGATAGAGTAAGGGTAAGATATTTATACCAGCCCGGTGAACTCGAAGGAGGCCTACGTCGCGCAACCGATCCCATATGGTCCCTTAAGACGTATAACATTAGTCGATTGGTTATGAAAGAAGGAGAGCCTATTCTTTATTATCTTCAAGATGGACCGGGTAGGGCATTTGTACGAGAAGAGTTGTTCATAGTTCCCGACGGTACGGTATTACCACCATAACCATAAGCATAGGTTGTTACACCATCCTTATCAATCCATCTCTTTGTATCTAAGGGGGATAATGATGTCTTGTTCATTCTTAATCCATATATCCTATGATTGTAACTTCTTAAAGAGTTCATCTCGTGTTTGAATGTTCTACCGTTGAATAATGATTCTTTATACTGTTCATATTTGATATGCTTTTTTACAACATACTTCTTAACACCCTTAGCTTTTCTTATCTCTCCATTATCGGACTTCTTTATAGAATACATCTTAGGTCTTAATCCCACATACTCCGCTATAGGGGTCCCAGCACATTCATCCTTCATCTTACCTAACACCTTTTTATTTACTACGCTGTGCAGTGGATTATCTTTAGGGTAATCGCTCGTGTCGTACATATCTATTTTTTCTGCCATATCTTTATACACATCCTCGGTTTGTATTTCCATCAACAAAGAATCTGTGTCGGTATATAAAACCTCGCATCTATCGCCGTATTGCTTCTTAGGTTCATTGTAATAAAAGTCATACATTAAGTGTTTTGACAAGTCGAGAATACTCATACCGATGTACACCGGTCTGTTGAATTTTATATTACTCTTCTGCATATGCAACGCGGCTAAGTCGTTATCGAATATCTTGCTTCTGTTAAAAGCCGGACTGGCTATAAGTTTCCTGAGTCTTTCTTCCTCATTAGATCTGACTAATTTAACATCAACACGCTTCCTTAGATTCTCCATAGTTTTACCAAATACCGAGTTATTCATGAGCTTATAAAGATTTTTTTCGAAATCGCTGGTAGCTATCTTTCTTAAATCTGTGTTCAACCTTATATAGGGCTCCATCCAAGGGCTTTGATCAAACTTTAGAACTCTGTGTATTTTCTTAAGTTTCATACCTAACGATAGATACAACTGGAGATTTCTGTAGTGAACTATATATTTTGTCTTATCCATCAAATTTGGTACGAGTTTTTCTACGTTAGCTAACCTACTATTACCCATCAAGGAGCGTTGATATTCTGACATCCAATCTTTATTAACCATTAATC